AGAGCACCATGTTTCCGGGGCAAACTTTTCTGATGCCGTCCACGTAGATGGCCGCTATGAAGATTTTCTTATGAAACGAAATTGAGCTGAGCTGAGCAAAGTGTGATTAAATCCATTTGAGTCTGGAGACAAAATGTCTTTTTTTATTGCCCCTCCCCCTCCCCTGTATATTAGTCAGGAGAGGAGAGGGTCTAGAGCGGAATCTGAGAGTACTGTACGGGTTCATTTTTTGTGGCACTCCTTTTAAAGACCTCGCTCAGTTTCGTCTTGACTCCAAAGGGAAGGAAAAAATCGAGCCATCATAACTCTCTGCCTTCAAACCCTTCCCCCATCCTCTTCCCTCACCCGCAGTGGGAAAGATTTTGTCGTAGGTGGCTTAACTCGCAATATTGCACCTCACTAAGCGAAAGGGAGAATTCGTTACCTTCAGTTTTCCCGTCGCTCAGTGAAGATGAATTGCTTAATCCCTACCCTACAGATTGTCCTTTTGTGGGACAAGGAAGTGCTCAGTGACTAAAGGAATACTCAAATAATCACCTCCCAGCCAAGGTCAAGAATAGTGGTTACCAAAATTTAAAAACCGCTTTTTAATAGGTCTGCGGGGGAGGTTGTATTTGGTGAATTTAACATTGAAATTTTTTATTTTATTTATTTAAGAAGTCGAGTTATCGGTGGACGGGATCCAAAACTCAAAATTTCAAAGGAACTTTTACGGTCTGCTCAAGAAGGCGCTTAGGAATGGCTTTCCAGGAGGAGAATACGCTCAACAGGGCTCATGGTCATGGACACGGGTTAAGCCCAGGGCTCACATCATTTCTCAGAATCATGCCTTTCCCTCCCTAAGGCTTAGTCTCTTAGTCAAGTACTGTAAGTGGATCACTTACGTGAATTCCCCCCCCCCCCATCCCTTTAACGACATGGGCGCTTTTAGGAACTTATACGTTTCCTGAGATTAAAGACACCTTTGAAGTAGGGTCGTTGGTACCACCGCAGGGACTCCCATAGAAGGAGGGGGTCGATGGGAACTTGTATCAAAGCCTGGTTTGATAGGAGTAGGGTCCTTCAACGCGACGGTTGGCACCTGCTCTGGGCTGCTTTCTACTGGGAAGTGAAGGAGTTAGCTCAGAGTTCAACGGAGGTCTCATTTTGTCTTTCATATGAGATTTATGAAGCTCATGTACATGAAACGTTCTAATTTAAATATTGATAGATCTGAATGTTTTGTTATTCCACAAAGATAGCGTTACAGTCCCCAAGATTTCATGCTCACTACCTTCAGGTTTGCTTGACTTCAAGTTAGAGATATTAAATGGGTAAAAAACTGTGCACATTTAAAATAAGCAGTGATGTTTTAGTGAACCGACTTGAAGTTATGCGCTGTCGTTCGCTAACGTCACTTTTTCAAACATAAGTTCAAGTAAAAGGAAAACAATAGTTGCGTGGAACGCGTGGTTCCACTCATCAGTCAAAGGCATTGGCGTCGAATTTCTCACTTTTATTAGCGCACTTTGTTGAACCTAACGAACAGCGATAAGAAAAGTCTCATCTTTAACACATTGGCAACAATGTCGCTCAATGCCGGGTGACACCTGTGCCGCGCGAGATCACGTCCATGGGCGACATCCCAGGTTTTTCTTGAATGCGCTATTTTTTGCTCTTTTCAATCACTTATTTATTTGTGAGGCTGATGGTATTTATTGGCTCACGTATTTTAGTGTATACAGCCCTGAAGTCAGTGATCACGATGGCTGGAGGGCGGTGCGGTTTCGATGACGTCATTGAACGTCATTGGTGGACTAGATTCCACAGTGCGTGGGGTGTGGTTGGGAACGCCTTTTGAAGTCTTTCCACCAATGAAGTTCAGCGATATCACCAAAACTGCACCACAAACCGATGAATTGACGATTTCTCTGTCTGTTGCAGGCGAGAGAATTTCTGTCTCAGCAGCTCAAAATTTCAACAGCTCCAATACTTTTGGCATAACTGTCAGTGTAAATGTGTTCCAAGAGGCTACTTTTCTTAGAGTTAGCGAAGATGATGGCTGGAGGGCGGAGCGGTTTTGGTGCACTCGGAAGTGATTGGTGGACCAGATATGTAAGCGGGCTACGGATGTGGCTGGGAACGCCTTCAAATGCCTTTCTTCTAATAGCACTCAACGACGCTCAAGGAAATCATCAAAACCTCGCCCTAGAGCCATCATGTTCGCTATCTTTAATTGTCTGCGGCCTCGACACCTTTTCTAATTTTTTTTTCAGAACCACAAATTCTCCTTTCATGATTCCGTAGTGCAAAGTGGTGTAGTGACAAGTGGCACGCTTACCACGCGAGCGGGGATCAAATCCTGGGTCGTGAGTCGCCCGGGCCAACCAAGCCTTCCATCCCTCCGGGGTCGGTTAATTGGTACCAGACTTGTCTGGGAGGATAAAAACACTGACTTGTACATCGGCTGGCCCCCGCAAGTCATTGTATAGGCCACATCGCATTCAAATGCTATTGCGAATCTTAAATGGAAGTAGAATGCGCGGCATACCCAAAAAGGGATTGATCAGCTTCACCACTGAGTCCTTTGTAATTCCGTACTGGTAATGTATGTACAATTTTGGATCCTACAGTGTAGAAGAACAGTTTTGGAACATGAAAAATAACAAACAAATCGAGCATAAGTCTCAGACGCACGGAAATCTGACGCGCATACGCGCCACGCTGTCAATGTGTTGAACTGAAAGGGGGGGGGAGCAAGTCCCACGTAGCAGACAGGAGAGTATTCGCCTGGTCACCAACGAGTCAACTCACAAATACTGAAATACTGGTAATTTTTTTGACGTCAAGCCAGGTCCAGAGCTTTTTCGTTTCGTTCTCTAGAGATATACTTGAGATCAAGTCATTCATTATCCTGCCTGTTACTATTTGGTATTCACCATTTTGCCGTTCAAAGGAAGCGACCACGATAAAGAAGGAGCGCATCGGGGAAGCATATGCACCACACGAAGCAGTTACTTGGCTGCCAAGGAAGCGAGGTGTGGCGCTTTCACGACGAAAGGTGCGCTGGTTGCTGAGCAGGACTTCGAAAGCACTCCGCCCCAAAAGCGATCCGCCCACTAGTTTACTTGGTGATTTGGACGA